CCTAAACCCTAACCCTAACCCTAACCCTAACCCTAACCCTAACCCTAACCCTAACCCTAACCCTAACCCTAACCCTAAGACTCGATGCTGCTGCCGGGCCGGATAGCTGTCTTGTATTTCCGATAGATGAGTATGCGATGCTTCTCGTTGATCTTGACGAAGCTATTTATAGCTATTTAATACTGCTTCTTATTTTCTAGTAGTAAATAAGTAGTGTAAAGTGATCTTCTTATTTATTATTCTTTAATTGCCTTATTAGTACCCCTTTCTCGTAGAGTAACCCTGGTAACTACTTATATAACCCTAATCCCGAGTCTCTAGTTAATGGGAAGCACTGACTAATCATCGTGCCGTCCTAATTTTAACCGATATTGCTCCAAAGCTCGGATCACAGTTTGCAGTTTGTATGGCCGATTCTACTTGAATCGCCTCTGAATAATATTCAGGCCCGAGTAACTTATATAGCCCTATTACTATTGCTTCGTCCGTACTTACTATATCCTCTATATTTTTTATATCCTCTATATTTTTTACTGCTGCTTTATTCTATATCTGCTTGTGCTGGCCGAGTCCTATTTATTATTATATCTTTTCCTCTGCTATATTGTCTACCTTTTTCTACTTCCCCTCTTTAGCCGCCTCCCTAGCCGCCTCTTTAGCCGCCTCCTTTTTTAAAAACCGATATTATAGCTAGCTAATTTTCTAGAATATTATAATTATCTTGGGCTATAGCTTATTTAGGAACCTAATATAGATAGTATAATGTTATTATACTACCCGGTTCTTATACGTCGATATTAGATCCTATATAATATTTTAGCTTTTTTTATAATATACTGGCTCTTTAATAACTAGGTCTATTTTGATATTATCCTTATTTTTATTGTCGTTATTGAACCGGCTTTTAATTTATTGTAGTATAAGCTTTTATATTTGACGGCCTATCTTGATAGCTACCGCCTGGTACCGTCCTATTTCTAGACGTATGCCCGTTATTGTCTATATTACCTATATTAGTATCTAGCTAAGTCGTTCCGTTTCTTATACCCCCGAGCTACCGTCCTACTATATAAACTTTAATTATACCCCGTATAGTTCGTTTAGTCTACTTTTATACTAGAGTACCCGTTCTGCCGGTATTAGTTATGCGATATATATTATTATTATCTGCCCGATCCCCTTGGGTATAAACCGTACTACTTTATATAAGTTATTCCGGATTATCTTTATTTTATCTTAGTCCGTTATGATTATTATCTACCCGTTAAGTATAAAGATATTATGGATAAATTATTATAAATTATAGTACCGTAACGTTACTATTTTAGGCCTTCGGCCGGGTAACCTATTTTATACGTAAATAAGTATTATAAGTATTTTCCGGAACATCTTTAGCTACTAAAGCTATCGTCATACCCCTTTATGCTTAAGTTACTACTTTTTAGGGTCCTATATCGACACCCTTAACTATTTTATTATAACCTCCAGTCCGGGTTTTAGCTAGCTATTTTTTAGCTTTATTATAAATGACTATTTTGCCCCGAGCCGTATTATATTATCCATAATCCGTCCTAGCTTAATCTATATTTTAATTGTTTTTTAGTCCTTCCCGTATAATAAGCTGAGTAGCTTTTATATGTTGACGACCTGGTCCTGGAGTGCTTGTATAAAGTCCTGGATAATAATATGCTTGCTATTATAGAATAGTAACTTGCTATTGTCTGCCTAATATACCGATAGCTATCTACTTATCTGTAATTACTAGCCTTTATTAAGCGCCATTTACCTAATTATAGTACTAATAACCGTATATACGCTTATATATATTTAAGCGGCGTATTGGTCCTAAAATACAAGTACCGTTTAGATCCCGACCTTATTCTAGTCCCGGGGCTAGCCTTTAAATACGGCCTTTAAAAAAAAAAGCCGGGACTATTATAAAATAGCCGTTAATATACTTATATATAAATACGGCTCTATATACCTGACCGGATAAGTTCGGATCTTTAATACTATATAGAAGTATAGTAGCGAGTTAGAGTATATTTACTTACCGACCTAGGTTTTAATTAAAACGATAAGAAATAAAAATATAGCCTGGTCGAATATTTTATTATTGCCCTGGGAATGGATACCCTCGACCCTTTTTTTGTCGTTATCGTTATTTTGGCCGTTATAGAACCTATTATCGTAGTTATTAGCGATATTACTCCTATCTAGTTCGGCTATTATATTATATAGTAAGCCCTATTACTTGTTTATAAAGCGGATAGCCCGATGCTCTAGTACTTTATTTTTTCCGATCTGGTATACTCGTTAATAAAAGCCTAGATACTGATGCCTTACCGACCGGTATTTAGTTATAGACGCTTCTTTACTTTTAAGCCCGAACGGTATCCTACTAGGGCTAATGTTTACGATATTAGTAAGCTATTAAAACGTTTTAGCTAGTATGCTATTTAATCGCTAACTATACCGTTTTACCTTATAATTAAAGCTCTTCCCGAGACGTAATAAAATTAATCGCTCCCGTACGGCCTTTTTATCCCGTTCCTAGTCTTATCTTAGTACTATATTCTTAGTCCGTATTTATTCAGTAGTATTATAGATCCCGAAAAGATCGTAAGACCTAAAATATTTAACTTATTATAGCCTCTTTATTTATAATAAGTCCCGGTCTATATTTTCTTTTAAGTCTTTTATTTTTAGCTGTTCGGTATCTTCGGCGTCGAGTTCGGCCGTATATTGGGCTATTATTAGCTTTATGGCATCCTTCCTGCCGTTATTATCTAAACTAGGTCCTATTTCGGTCTCGTCGTTATTGATAATTTAATATCGTACGTACTTCTTATATATTTACGTTTATAACCGGATTGTTATTAACTTTAGCTTAGTTACTATATACCCGGCTTCTTACTAATAGTGTATAATGTTATTTTTTATTGTAGTAAGATAGCGGTATACGGAGTAACTATGCCCCTATAGAACGTTAAGCTATTCAATAGCTAAATTACTATCGCCGGGTAGAATATTAACTTTTAAATTAGCTAGATCCGAGTAGCTATAATAATCCTTAATATCTCTAAAAACCTCTCCTTTTAGCTAATATTTATAGCGGAAGTACGACTTAATACCGCTTCCGGGTTAGATAACTGTTTTATATTTCCGATAGATAAGTATACGATGCTTTTTATTAATTTTAATAAAGCTATTTATAGCGATTTAATACTGCTTTATACTTTTTAGTAGTAAATAAGTAGTGTAAAATGATCTTCCTATTTATCATTCTTTAATTACCTTATTAGTACCCCTTTTTCGTAGCTTAACTTTAATAACTACCTATATAACCTTAATCCCGAGTCTCCGGTTAATAGGAAGTACCGACTAATTATAGCGCCGACCTAACTTTAACCGATATTGCTCCAAAGCTCGGATCACATTTTGCAGTTTGTATGGCCGTTTCTACTTGAATCGCCTCTGAATAATACCTAGGCCTGGTTGCTAGAAAAGAGCGGCAAGCCGACTAGCCAGACGCAATCCGTGCTCGCGACGGCGGACGGTATTTTCGACATGAAGGGTCCAGTGGTGGACTTCCACAAAGGCAGTCGCACAACCGCAATGTTTTTCGATGGCAATACATCCTTCAAGTGGACTTACATGTCTACTCCGGCGCTGTATCGACCTGGACCGCGGACAGGGTCGTACCACGTCTCCTTTGAAATTCTTCCTGTCAAGCCGAGGGAACCGAACCTAACTGCTGTGGGGGGTGATCTTGCAACTTTCGAAGGGCGTCTGCACGGCATCTCTCTATCTGACATGGCGGTGGCTGTTGCGGAGGAGGCAGAAGGACAGACCAAGGGTTGGAAGCATTGGTGCCCCTTTGTTCCCGATCTTGATGAAGAGGGAGGCCCTGTGTATGCGAAGATTGAAGATTCCGTCAAATAGGCTGGATTGCAAACAACACAATCACGTGGTCGGGCTTTGCCACAAGTTTCAGGCTTGGCCCATACGAAGAGCCATTGATGGATGCATCCAATACTGTCCCGTTCGATCACACCCAGACCTACCATGGTCTGGGTTTCAGCTAGTACTCGTTCAATCAAACTGAAGTTATCGACGTGAAGAGGTTGTAATAGTGAACAAGCCAATTACTTGCGCGTAGCCATAGATCTGACGCGCAATGCTGGTGCCTTTGACAAAGTGAAAGTGGTCGCATCTTCGAATAGAAATAGGGCGTCAAAACGTTGTGATATGGATGGGAGCAAGAACGCTCCGTTCTGGTCCATTCCAGTTGCTCCATGGTCAGATTTCAAGCCCCGTCGCGGGAGGGTTGAGGTCCAGTTTTGGCGACTTAAGGACATATCCAAGTAGCCTGCAGCAGGCCGTCACTGATGGATCTCCGCTATTTCGCCGGTCGTCTATTTGACAGGTGTCGTACGAACAGTTCAGATCTTACAGCCAGCCATCAGACGATGAGCGGGCACATCTCGGCCAGGCAATCAACATCAAGTAATCCGTCACCGAAGGGGTCAACCGCGACGCCAGTGAAGTGAATGTCGTACATAAAGCTAGTAGAAGTATTACT